AATGGGATCAGAAGCTGGTGGAGGGACAAGACATGTCTAGAGTATCCTGAAATGGATGTCCTGGGGTTCCTGCATATTGTTTCTCCTCATGGAGTGGGTTGAGGTGCCTCAGCCCCTTTGTTGGCATGCATTGCTGTTGAGTACACATGGAGCAATAAGTGCAGGTCCGAACATATATCTGGATATTACAAGCATTCTGTGGGACCTACGTCTGAAGTCGCATCCAACTGGTATTAAAATATGGTGCCAGAACCTTCTACCCTGGAAGGTCCTATAAGTGGTGAGAATTTGCAACTTGTTCACTGCATGATTCTTCAAGTAACTTGTGCAACACCTCACCTGCATAAATAATGAACTGAAAAATATGTATTCATGCAAGATAACTTGCCCTGAGCACTGCCAGATATGATGCCATCCAACACTGTACCTTAACTTCAAAATAGAAAATTCTGTTCAGACTTGATTGGCGTGGAATTTAATCGACTATACAAGTTCTACAGTCCTCTCTCCCAGTCTCATCCATTCCCCCAAAGTCAGATATTTTCTAACCAACATGTTCAGAAATGTTATTACACACTTCTGAGGTAGGCGGGTCTTGAATCCAAGTCTTCTCTGTTAGCGGTAGGGACATTACCATTGTACCACAACAGCCCTTCTCCTTGTAGGCAATCAATTAACAGCCATCTTCTGTTTGCTTCAAACCTTAATCATTTGTTATATTAACAGAGTTGCTAATGTCTCTTTAATTTTAAGTGTACAGAGGTCTTGTTACATAGTGGTACTATCACTACCTCCAAACCTCTGAAAGTGCAGATTCAAGCCCGATCCAAAGGTTTGTCATAACATGTCTGATCAGGTTAATTAAAAATATCTATAAGCAATTAATTTTCCATGTTCTTTTGACACAACAGATGCCTCTTCAAGGTTATCTAGTTTAAGATGAACATTTCTCTTGGCAAAACAATCCGACAACTAGTGACTTATGTCTCAGAAATTTTATCTCTCAAATCTTTTCCTTCCAAAACTTCCTTCACACTAATGTGCAACCTTTTCTCAGTAACATCCTTTGTCAAATTAACCTTGTCCCAAACAGGATCACTATCCACAAACTCTATGGACACTTGTTTCTCAAACTGCCTCTTGTATAAGATACCATTCAGAACAGTAGACAAACACCCGCACCCCCCATTACAATTGCTTTTATTAGTGCCAGTGCTTCAGCAACTACAGTACTTTTAACCACTCATTTTAATTCTTTAGCTTCCTTGGCAAATGGACATTTATTATTCGTTCCCACCAAGAATGTGGATAAACTACTGAACTAGAATATACACCTAGCAGGAAGCATTAGTAGTTTGAGAGGCTGGACTGGGTGTGGGCCCTTGAAAACACTTGTACATGATGTTGAGGCTTGCAGGCTGACCGTATGTCACTACACACACACACTCCCCTTAAGAGTGTTATACCGAGTGATGGCGCTATGAGTGAGGCAGCAAACACAGGTAGTGTTGCCCTTCCCTCTGAGATTATTGTTGTGCCTGAAGCTGTGACAATATCATTTAGCAGATTTCAAACTCAACCTTCTCTCGATCATAAAAATATTGCATGCATTGATTATCACTGAAGTTGAGGAAAAGATCTGGTTCTTGAAGATTTTCTGTGGATATGATTTCCTGCTAAGTGTCGTGCTCTTCTTCCTCCCCCTTCTGCCAGCTTATGCCGCTTTGCAGGTCCTCTCTCCATTCCTTAAGTCATGTTCAATTACCACAGAAAGCTGTACCACTCCACCCAGGTTTGGAAGCATTGTTTTGCACTATAATATTTCAAGAGATACAAAAATACCGCAAAACTAGCCAGATCAATACCTGCATTGTACTTAATTAAACTGTAGCCAAGGACGCAAAACCAAAAATGCACATCTATACACTAGCAGTCAGAAGTAGTAGTCCAGCAACTAGCTTGTAAATACTTAATAATCTCTAAATATTTATTCATGAGGGATTCTTGAAGTCATTTAATATTATATTCTGCTACACAAGGATATTACAGAGCGTTGTGGAGTTGCAAAATGGTGATAGTGGCTTCAAGTCAGCACATTTTTACAACTGAAAAGCAAATTAGTACCTTGACCTTTCTGCGGCACATGCTGCCAGCAGTTGTTAAGTACGTGCATACAAAACGCAAAATACTATCCAGTACGATCATTTCAGCCCCAATTTTCAGTCCTAGTTTACTGCACAAGGATGGGTACTGCATATCTCATTTTAAACTCTCAAACAGTTAGACCGAAAATCATATTTCCTTGGAACTTATTTTGCAAACTAACTGGTTATTTGATAAAACTCACTCAACTAATGGGCTCAAGTATCAGGCAATCAATCAATCTCTAGTCTGAGATACCAGGCTGTGACATCTTGTACATAAGACCATTAGACATAGCAGCAGAATTAGGCCATTCAGCCCCTCAGGTCTACTCCACCATTTGACCATGGCTGATATTTTTCTCAAACGCAATGTCCTGCCTTCTCCCTGGAACCCCTGATTTCCTTACAAATGAAGAACCTACCTCTGCCTTAAATACACTCCATGACTTGGCCTGCATGGCCTTTTGTGGCAATGAAATTAACCATCCTCTCGCTGAAGAAATATCTCATCTCAGCTCTAAAGGATCGCCCCCTCACTCTGGGGCTGTTTCCTCAGATCCTAGTCCCTCCAACTAGTAGGAACATTTTCTCCATGTCCACTCTATACAGACCTCTCGGCACTCTAAGTTTCAATGAGATCCCCTTCACATCCCTCTGAATTCCATTGAGTACAGACCCAGAGTCCTCAACCACTGACAAATGTTTCATTCCTGGGATTATTCTTGTAAATCTCCTCTGGATCCTCTCCAACATCAGCACATCCGTCCTCAGATATGAGGCCCAAAACTGTTCACAATATTCTAAATGTGGTCTGACTAGAACCTTACACAGCCTCAGCAGTATATCTCTGCTCTTTTATTCTAGCCCGCTCGAAATGAATAGTAACACTGCATTTGCTTCCTAACTGCCAATGAACCTGCACGTTAACCTTAAGAGAATCCTGAACTGGGACTCCCAAGTCCATTTTTGCTTCACATTTCTGAAGCCATTCCCCAATTATAAAATAGTCTCTGCCTCTATTCTTCCTACCAAAATGCATAACCTCATACTTCACCCTCATTGCATTCTATCTGCTACTTCTTTGCCCACTCTCCCAGCCTCTACAAGTCCTTCTGCAGCCTCCCCGGTTCCTCAAAAGAACCTATCACTCAGCTTATCTATATTTCATCTACAAATTTACCAACAATGCCTGCAGTTCCTTCGTCCAGATCATTACTGTATAAAGTGAATAGTTACAGTTCCAACACTGACCCCTGTGGAAATCCATTAATCACCGGTTGCCAACTGGAAGAAGACCTCTTTATCCCCCCTCTCTGCCTTCTGCCAGTCAGTCAATCCTCTATCTATGCCAGTACCTTGCCCCTAACACCATGAGCTCTTATTTTATTTAGCAGTCTCCTGTGTGGCACCTTGTCAAAGACCTTCTACTGGCAGAACAACAGTTTAGCTGTACTATGTCGCAATGCTGTAATAGAAATTGAGGGCCATCGTGTTTAAGTAGCCTGAGACAGTGCTACAATTCAACTGCTGTTTATGCTTGCATTACAGTTTATTTATATGCTTAAGGTTTGTTACAGGTTTCCATGACAGGATGTTTGTCATAGTTAAAAAACCTTCATCTCTTGCCACTCCAGAACCAATAACAATAAAAATTACTAGGTGAGAAAGATTTACGTAACATAAAGATCATTAGTTTTGTCCCACTGCGTTTAAACAGAACTTGACTCCAAGATCTAACTTCAAGCTCTTCCTTAATTTCACTTCAGGTGGAACCATCCTTTGCTACTATTAAATAATCCAAAAAAAATTTCAGTATCAAATGTTTCTCTAAATTTGTGCTGTCAAACTTAATACTCTATTCATTCCAACCATTAACAAGATCTGGAAATAAACACTAAAATAATAGACATTTTTCTCAAAATACCTCAGTAAGTTAATAATAAAAATAAAACGGATAAAAGATAATCGATCTGAATGTTGGTTCTGTTTCTCTCTCTCCAAAAATGGTGCCAGACTTGCTGATAATTTCCAACATCCACAGTAGTGTGTTTTTGGTTCCCAACAAACTGATACACAAGTTCTTCATTATGTTAACAGTGATGAATTTTACTGAGAACATTTCTATATTAAAATCTGCTAACCAAGTACAACGTGAGGCCATTGTACTTCACATTTGACTTGTTTAGATTTGCATTTTGGAAACTACACCATAACATACTGAAATAAACATAAAACAGTAAAATATGAAGAACAATTATGGAACTCCTCATTGTTTCATACAATTTACCACACAAAATCTATTACCAATTTAAAAACTCCATTTGGTTTCATACTAAATAGAAATCTACAGGGACTTTAAATTGTAAACACAGAAAATATTAATCAAGGATACACTATTAGGAATAGCTGAATGAATGTCACAGAATCATAGAATTGTCATGGTGCACATGGAGGCCATTTGATATTTTCATTAAAAAAGGTTGATTGATAATTTGGGACTTAATTACCCAGAATACACTTTGTCTCTTATGAATACAATTTACCAGCCAAGGGCAATAAGGAAAAAGTAATGAACTGCCTTGTTAGTGAGGCTCACATCCAAAACAAATATAACTTTGTACCTTCATTTTGGAAAAAATGCTTCCTTTAAGTATTAAGTTTTAAAATACATAAATCAAACTTTTAGAACAATTTTGGTAAAGAAATTACAATCTTTTAAACTGCCAATTTAGTATAGCAAAATGTGTGTATCTGAACTATTTCTAAAGATGTATATTGATGCGAAGCTTTGCAAATTGCACTTAGTTTAATCAATGTTAAAATGTCAATGCATAAAATGTACAGCTATCTACTTACACAAGAAAGTTTCCTGATGCAGACAAAGATCGTTCCTCTCGCCTACTTCCCTCAAAAGGGTTCCCAAAAGAACGTTTTCGAAGCATTGTTTTAACAAGAATCTGTTGAGAAAGCATCAATTTCGTAATATTGTAAAGATCACTTTTATTTGGATTGTGGACTAAATAATGCTGATACTTTAAGCCAAGAAAACTGTGAAAAGGTTTTGCAGTTTTTAAAAATGAGTTACAGGAACTCACTGCAAGTTGTATCCACAGTGTGACTGAAAGTGTAAATCCTCAACCGGTGAATGAAATACAGTAATCTCCCTAGTATCTCATATGCAAGAGGTTGGGGGATGCTGGTTACATGCAAAATACTAGTGGCAGTTGGGAGAACTTGACCTGTCACTACCACAAGATGAATGTGTGTTGTAAAAAATGAGTGACAATGACTGCTCATAAATATCATCATCTTTTTGATCGAGCGCGGGAGGGGGGAGAACAAACAAACAAACAAATCAGTTCTCAAAGCAAGGAAATATAGGAAATATACTCCCGTCCTGATAAGTCAGTCAGTCAGCCAGCCAGCTGTGGTAAGGTCATCGGGAGTTACAATTCTGATCTCCCCTTCTGAATCTCGAACTTCCGCATTGTGGGAGAACAATGTGCAGAATGGGGGTGCATTTGCGATTGCCAGTTGCAGAAAAAGTCTGGATGTTTGGGTACTGAATAACGAGGACTTTACTGTACTGAGAACTGGCATATCCACCACGTCCCGTTATTAGCAAATTGGTAGGAGTCAGAACAAATCTCAAGGAAAACAATTCTCAATATTTGTAATCTGAACTAGTACTAGAACTGTGACTCTGATTTTTTTTTCCCCCCCCTTCCCTATCTCACTTCTTCATGTTGTTTGTGTATGGGAATTTTAAATAAGAGTAGAGTTTAAACTTGAATCACAGAGTTAGGTAAAACTGGGCACTTTGGTGGTTTATTCAAATTTTCACATTTGCACAACAGTATGATTTGATTTCCAGTGCACTGAGTGAGTCATTACAATCTAGTTAAGAAACTTGCATTTGAAGGTAAATGAATGAAAACATCTCTGTTGCATAAGATCCCTTTGACAGAGGTGTTTGCAATACTTCTGACCAAAAGCAACAGTCACGTGTGGATAAAGTTACAACAAAAAACAATTTCACCTTAATGTAGTAATTTGGGGATTGGTGATCCATTTTTCCATTTAGTATAAATTTCTCCATTAATTTCATCTTATAATTGTGGAAACTATCAAGAGTTGTTTGAACCTATTACTGAGTGCAAACAAGATGGAAAGAGACATGCTATCACATTAAACTACGGAAATAATAATGGCAGGTTTTAAAATTTCTATGACACATGCCAATATAAGAAAACAAACTGGACAGGAAGAATTATTTTCTTCTATGGATACAGTATTTATTGTCTGCTGTTGACATGAATTAGATCAGAAATCACACAACACTAGGTTATAGTCCAACAGGTTCATTTGAAAACACAAGCTTTCGGAGCCTCACTCCTCCTTCTGGTATTCGTGAAAGAGGTGGTGTCAGACACAAAATTTATAAGTAAAAAAGATCAGAGGATCACACAACTGATGAGGATATATTAAATAAACCTAAGATGCTGTTAAATCTTTAATTAGTTAGAAGGTTTTAATTGATTAATATGCATAAATAAATCCCTGAAATTCTTTCAAGTCACTGCCCTGAGAAAACTAAGGTTTTATCAGTGTAAAGAAGTAGTGACATTTTAGGTCAGACGCCTTGTTTAGAATCTGTTCGTGTTTTGGTTTGGAGTCAGTCTAGTGTTATTTCTAAAGTAGGAATTTATACAACGCTGCATTGACCGACTGTAAATTGTGCTAAACAACGCCTCACACCCGACATGCATTGTCTGACCTAAAATGTCACCTCTTCTTTACACTTATAAAACCTTTAGTTCTCTCAGGGCAGTGACTTGAAAGGAATTTGAGGATTTACATACACCTATTAATCAATTAAAACCTTCTAACTGATTTAAGATTTAACAGCATCTTAAATTTGTTTAATACATCCTCAGTTGTTTGAACTTTTGATCTTTTACTTATAAATTCTGTGTCTGATGCCACCTCTCTCACTAACACCTGTGGAAGGAGTGAGGCTCCCAAAGCTTGTGTTTTCAACTAAACCTATTGGACTAAAGCCTGGTGTTGTGCTATTTCTGACCTTGGTCTACCCTTGTCCAACACCGGCACCTCCACCTGTTGACATGAATTAGCCTGCATCATTAGGATTTCTGACTGTTCTTGCAACATTGTTAGTTTGTTTATATTTGGCATAGAGGCTGATTTAGAAATAGATTATCTACTGTACAAAGCTTTGTAACTGGCAATGAATATGACAGTTACTACCACACTGTACATTTGAGACTTTTCAAAAGCTGTTTTAGCAGCATATACTGAATTGAACAGCATTTGCTCCTTCTTGTACTTACTCAGATTGTACCAATGGGAGAGACGCAAAAGAGACAGCAAGTGACAATACCAGTAACCTAAGGCTGATCCTCTACAACTATGCACGATACTCATTCCTCAGCAATATTTATTAGAGATGAAGAGGCATAAGTGGGTGATCAAAATTCAAAATAGTCTCTTACGACTGTTGCCAGGCTTGGAATATGTTTGACCGAATTCTCAACCTCCTCTTCAGTAACTTCAACAAGGATACAATTCTCATCCTCTGTAGGAAGTGCTTCAGCACCATGTCTTGTCACCCATGGATGCATCTAAAAATAAGAAATGACCATGAAGGAGATACCTTCAGCACAATTTGAATTATTTACAATATTTCAACAACCATGAAAGGCAAGTAATAACTGCTATTTTGGTACCTGTGCAAATATATTTCCTTGTAACCTCTCCAGTCTGGAATGTTTATGACCAAATAATTTCTGCATTATAAATAACATTAGAATGCCTTACCATAAGTGTGTAAACCCAAAAGCCTGATAGATATAAATACTTATCTGGAACATAAAAAGTGATAAAACATTATGAAGCACCGTGAGTTACATAGTCATTACTTTTACTGAGTTAATGACTTCTTGATTTGTTGCAGGGTCAAAGAGTAATGTTTATGGACGACTTGGGTGTGCTTAAAAAATTTCTGAATAACTAGAGTTTCCAAACAATAATTTTCCAGACTGGAATGGTTAGTGCATACAGATATGGCAACAGTTTTGCTACTTAGAACTTTATAAACAATTGTTCGCTTTGACAATTTCCTCTGAAAGAGGGATAAATTTTAACTACCAAAGGCAGTAGAAAGTTAAAATGGTAAAAAAAAATGTAAATCCAGACTCCAAATTGCCTCAAACCCATGTCCTTCTGGTTTTAATGGAAATTGCATGGCTGCTAAGAGCTTTGAGGCGGCCATGGGCATCCATTATTACAAGCCTGTCATTTTTACAAACAGTGTTTGAATTTCCTGGGTCTTGGGAAATCCAGCTGAGGAGAAGGTCTGAATCTATAAAGTACTTGCCTTGGAAATATCACTGTGGGCCAAAAACATTAGGAGTATTTCCCAAGGAGGATAACCTTACCCAATTCACTTGTCATGTTTGCTGAGTACCAACATCCTGTCACGATTACCATCTGGTTTCCCTCAACCAGCAGTAACCACTCTTGATCAGGAGAAATCCTCTACCCATATGCTCCCAATCTCTCACTGGTCCCTAACCTGCTCTTTGCATGGATGCATCCTTGTGCAGCAGGCGTTCCCACCCAGCAGGTAGAAAACCTGTCAATCAGCTTGGTCCTAACAATATCAAGGCCAAATCAGCAATAATTTGTAAGAACAGGCTCATTATCAAAACCATGGCAATTGGTTGTGCAAGGAAAATTACTAAACTCATGCCTAATCTGTTTCTCATAACATGTACTTAATTAAATTTTACTCAACTGACCATCCACTTACAATGAAGAAAAATGTTAGCATTAGGAGCAGGGCTTTTAATTTTTACCCTTTTCTTGCAATTTCGTTAATATTTGGCCACTGTAGGGCAGAAGAATTAGCCAGTTTGCCTGGGGAGGCATTTAGCAGAACTAAGGTATTTCCCAAAGGGAGCAAAATTGGAACACAAGTTGATACTCCAGATAGTGTTTGGTAAGAAAGTCCATTACTGCTTTTCTGAACTTGGGACAGGATATGGCTGAATATATTTGAGAGAGTGCAGTCAAAGAACCAAATGGTTTAGCTGTCTAAATTCTTCAGTCCTGAAATTGGCATGTTGAAACTTTGGCACTCATTAAATATTTCAAAAAAAACTTGCCCAAGATGGGTAATGTTCCATGAATTCAAGTCTAAAACACAAAATCATTTCCTGAAGTGATAATCTTGCCTTTTGCTACCCCGTTTGATGAAATTATTATTATTTGAACGTGATGTTTTTATACATTGAATGAAATTACAGTTTAGAGATACAAGGAAGTCAACAGAATCAATGACTTCAATATGTTCACTTTTATTACATTAAAATTTTTAGTGTTGTGTGCATAACAAAAATGACAAGAACGTCAGAATGATCGATAGCGTAATATTTCTTTGTCTTACCTTGATCTGTGAAACTGTGATCCTGGTTTCCGGGTTTTTATCTAGCATTTTAAAAATGAGATCCTTGAGTTCTTCAGAGAGGTCTGGCCTAGCTCGCAAAATTAATAATAGGCACTTAAATATATATACCTAAAAGATAGCAACGTTTCCCACATTCAATTATTCATTCCCTCATCCCACAAAAGAAATCTGTAAAGCAGAATTGCTGATTAAGAAGAAAACATTTGATTGAGACAGAAATAATAAAATTTGGGTACAGATGAAGTTCAGAAAAAACAAACACACTAAAACAAATCTAAACTGAAAAAGAAATGTATAAGCTTGCAAACCACTCACTGCTCAGGAAACTCCACAGGCTGGTTCTTGATTTTGTTATGCAGACTTAATATCTGATCATCCATGAAGGGGCACTATCATAAAAATTGAGCTCTATCAGTTTTATATCCTTTAAGATTTTACAAGCTGCAAATGTAGTCGTCAAATAATCAAGAAACACAATAGATTAAAAAGTTAAAGGCATTATAATAAAAAGTAGTGACATTAATAAAATTATTGTATTAAGTCATGCAACACAATTTAACATTTCTTATACTTACATGTCCCAAAACGAAACAGTACAACGTGATGCCCATTGCCCAAACATCCAAAGCCTAATCAGAGAAATTATAATCAGGTTCCAAAATGAAACAAATATCAATATGTTACAGGCCTCAGCCTAAAATCTGAGACTGTAAATAAACTGTAGAAAAGTAGCTCAAGAAACATTCCTTATAAAAAGCAAGCAAGACATATTTACATTTCATGGTAAGGTTTTAGAATTGTTTGACCAAAAAGAGGAAAATTCCACAGGAGCAAATTGCTCCCAACTTAGAAATCCTTGCACTACATTTTTTTTGCCTTTTTGGAGGATCGTCTCAGCTTGCCGATTAGTCTCCACATTTCCCCATTGTCTATACCACAAAGACCATGCATAATGCTATATTTTCAATTTCCTCTAAACAATTATTGTTTGTATTTCTTTTGAACCACTATGAGAACTTGTAGTTTTAATTTTAATTCTAGAAAACCTTCTAAACATAACCATCACAAAGTAAAAAGGCTTGCGTTGAAGTAAACCGAACAGAAATTGCAACCAAGGCTTAAAAAGGGACAGGCAAAATATTTTCACTTTCCATTAAAACAGATTTCATTTCAAAGATTTAAAATTAGTTCTAACATAAAACACAAAATGTCAAATTGGAAAGGCAATTGTAAAAATTCAAGAATTTCAGATTATAGTACATTGTAATTAATAGATCAGTCATAAATGACTTATTTTTTTACCTTGCCATGAAAATTCTTCCTGGTTTCAGAAATGGTCTCGGGAGCCATGAATGCAGGTGTGCCCACACTGCTGGTCAGAAGGGCATCTGTTCCCTCAAACTGGTTGCTAACCCCAAAGTCAGCTATTTTGATATGGCCATCTTCTCCAGCCAACAGATTGGAAGGTTTAATGTCACGATGAATAATCTTTTGATAGTGCACTGCATACAAAACATTTCTTGTTGAGGTCAATTTTGAACTCTTTAATGTGATATAGCAGTACTACAGTTCAGAACACAGGAATATATTTAACACACAGTTTCAAATGCCTATCACCATTTTCCTCCAGTACAAATAAAAAACAATGCACTGATATATAAAATCTTCAAAGTATTTAAACACCTCAAGATGAGAAAGCAATAAGAACTGGATGCTGTGTATGAAACTACTGCATTTTTCTTCATGAACACTTTGCCTTCAGAAGAGGTACAATCACAGCAAAAAAAAAACCAGAAACTCAGTTGTAGTAGATATCTCTGATCGTTCTACATCTTATACAACGGATATAAACACTATTCTTGAAGAATGCTTCAGTGATCTAATGGGGAATCTCTCCTTCTGATTCCAAGTTAAGTTTCCAATCTCAATTTTGGCATTGTCATGCATTATCCCACAAAGAGCAATGCTAACCTTAGACCACACATGTATGTGTCAAAATGCAGTTACGAGCATGATAAAAGAAGATAAGGAGCACAATACCTCCTTATTTGCAGGGGTTGTGCACTGAATAGAAAAACAGGGAATGGGGAAAGAAATAACATTAACACCACTTCATCCAGAAGTCCCTCTAACCACAGGCACACATTGGAACATGTCCTACACTTACAGAATTCAATTCCCATAATCAAGTCTTGAAAGTAAAATCGTGCTTGTTCTTCTGACAAGGGTTTTTCAGTTGGAACCTCCATTACAGGGCTGAAACAATATAGAAATAATTGGAAACAACTTGGTGCAGTTGAAGTCCCTTGAATTCTAACTTTCCACAACTATACATAATTTCAAGTTTTGCCAGAAATAGATACATTATACATTTTTGATTTGTTCAATGGAAATAGGAAAGGCTAGACATTCGTTGTTTTCCACTTGGAAAGAGAAGTGTAAAAAATTAGAAATAACCCACAATGTCACTTCCAGATGCTTCACAGATGGTCACACAGCCACATCGACTAAGGCCTGGGTGCATTTTGTGAGTAAAGCTTGACAAGTATTCATTGCTGTTGTATATGCATGCAGCTGACTGTACAGGACATGCAGCAGGTCTTTGCCAGATTACAATATGTGATCAGTGAGAACCATTTAAAGTAGCAACACTGGAAGAGGAGTATAAATAAATTAAAACATCTGGTTTTGACAGTGTAACATGTACATTAATAACCCATCGATATTGCATAAAAATGTGATTGTGGTCCTAGAAAGGACAAAAAGCCAATTGAGATTTCAAATTAAATTTGTTTAAAGATCCAACCGTAAGTTTTATTGTATGTTATTTTCCAATACTCAGAAGTGAAAAAAAATTGAGTGTGAGCAGTCACATTCTGATAAACATTAGAGAACATTTACCAGTACTGTGGGCATACATGGAACACAACAAAACACTTGGTCAAAGAGACCATTAAATATTTTCTAAATTTTTTGAATGAAAATACACGGGTTTGCACTTTGCAGTCAGTAGTGAAGGAATAACACCTGCCACTCATCATGTTGACAATTACCCACAGACGTTTTCAGAGCTTTTTGAAAGGCAATTTGCACTATGAGAGATCACTTCCAGGTTGGCACCATGTATAGAAGATCAGTGCCATGTGCAATCAGGCAAACCGCAAAGCTTTTAAACAAATGAGATTGAAGAATTTACATCATAATTGGTCAGGGTTTGTGTTTTCAGACCCCACCATCTACATCACTTTTTGTTCCTGACTGCAGTGCAAGGACATGACATACACCCTATGCAGATTTCACTTAACTGGCTAATTAACATCCAAAAGGTGGCGTCCTGTCCAATTAGGGATTGCAGGCAGGCTCCAAATGCTTGGGCAGATGGAGGGTGTTCAATAAGTCATTCGCTAACAGACTGGCAACCTTCTGATGCAGATAAAGGCAAAATGGAGGCACCCGCTCAGAGCTTTTAAAATCTTTGAGAATAACAATAGCCATGCCTTGCTAGGCTACTTTTGCAGAGTGGAAACACCTCTAATGGGCAACATGTGTCTACAGGTGTAGCTGTTTTCCTGCATCAGTAGGGTAGTAGTGTAGCATGTAAAGTGCTTCAGGCTTTTCCATCTGTTGCTGGGAGATCACCTTGGTTCACTGCCTGCATTTCAGTCACCAAAAGAGGCCACCTGCTGCCTGGAGAGGAGCCTTAATTGCTTCAAGTTGGCTACTTGTCACTTGCAGGTGGGTGGCTGCTTTATTCCTGATGCAGGCCCTTTAAAAAGTGCAAGTGAAGTAGCTAACTGGCACACTGGCTGGTGCCAGGAATTTCCAGGCCTGCCACCTCCACTGTGTTTCCAAAATTCTGTCTGGAGTCTAAACCAGGAAGCATAAATTAATTAATTCATTGCAAAATCATATAAAAAAGTAAAATTAAAGAAAGAGGAAAAAAAATGGGTGAAAGATTCAAGAAATAGAAAGAAAAAACGTAAAAAATTTTTTTAGAACTCCAACACTAGTTAAATTCTGTAGAAATTAGGCTTTATGGTAATAGAATTAAGTTTAAGTTTGAGAGGTTGCTTGGAAGTTATTCACTAACATATGAATTCACCTGCTCTAACTTTCCTGACACCTTTTGTAAGTGACTACAGCATTTAAATGTCAAATCTCTCTGACAGGTACTGATATAGCACAGCCTTTGAAGTAGCAGGATAACTTGGACAGCAAATTCCTGATATCAATGTTTACTTGCAAATCTATGGACTCCTAAAGTTGCTGTTGGATTTACATTGTAATAACAGAGGGGGCTGTAGCCTCACTGTTATTCTCAGTGCAAAATCAGGGCCATGATATGAAGTCTCAAAGCAAAATACTGCATACACTTCACTAATACAACAAGTTATTTAAATTCTTCAGTTTTACTATCAAACCAAGGAAGTGGTTCAATCAAAGGGAGCTAAATAATATTACACTGCACTAGTGGTAATGTTTTTGACTTTAGCAAAATTCAGCCATACTTGTGGTGAAATAAGTTTTGATAAATGTATTCAAAATTCCTAGACAGAGGAGATAGGGACAAACTCATTCTTTTGGCAGAAGGATACAGATTTAAAGTGTATGAGCAAAAGAACCAAAGGCTACATGAGAAAATTTTTTTAAAAATGGGGTGAGTGGTTAGGATTTGTAAGAAATTGCTCAAGCGTGTGGTAAGAAAGGTTCAATATTTTTTATTCTCAGGGGATGTAGAAAATTTTGTTACCATTATCGGACGTATTTGAACAGTTTGGCTCACTACTACTTTTCTGATGAAGAGTCACCAGACCCAAAATGTTAACTCTGCTTCCTTCCGACAGATGCTGCCAGACCTACCGAGTTTCTCCAGCAATTTCTATTTTTTGTGACAGATCTCCAGTTCTTTATTTGTTTGGCTGTCTTGGCCATTTCAGAGGACATTTAAGATTCAACCACATTATTGTAGATTCAGAGTCACATGTAGGCCAAAGCAGTTAAGGTTGGCAAGTTTCCTTCCCCTGAAGGACATCAGTGAATCAGAGAGGTTTTTACAACAATCAACCAGGATTGCCATTAGACTAGCTTTTTTCTTTTACTTCTAGATTTTATTGGATTCAGATTTCACCATCTGCCATGGTGAAATTTGAACCAGTGTCATCAAAATGATAGCAAAGGAATCTCCTCAGTTACTAGATCAGTGACATCACTGCTAAGCCAGCTTTTGACTTTTAAAGAGTGCTGGATAAGTACCTAACAGAAAATAAAATCTGTGTTACGGAAAAAATGTTTAGACTATCCAAATTGCTTTTGCAGACAGCCAGTGCATATTCAATGAATCAAATGGCCTCCTTCTGTGACAATCCAATGAATTTCCGGACGCAATGAGCTTGCTTGGGATTTGGTGCAGCACAGGATATGCATTTCACTAAAATGAGAAGAGACTCAAACTGGAGCATCTTTGCGCGTAAAACTGAAAAATTTAAATGACAATCAATAAAGGAGGAAAAAGAAAAATACTTACCCTTGTTTCACAAGTTCAAAAACTGAAGGAGAAGAAATAGAATTACATTCAGTTTCTGTAGAGTACATTTTATGTATCTTTGTTACATAAGAGCGTTAAAATGAATTAACACTTACATAATGATCCTGTTGTTGATGTCACACAAAGGAGTTAATTTTATTTTTTTATTTGGCAGCACCTGTGGAGAGAGAAAGAGTTAGTGTTTCGGGTCCATTGAATCTTCTTTAGAAATGTTTTGAAGAAGAGCCTTTGGACTCAAAGCCTTAACTCTGTTTCTCTCTACACAGTTGCTACCACACCTGTTAAGTTTCTCCAGCACTGCCTTATTTCAGATTTCAAGCTTCTGCAGTATTTTACTTTTGACCTTGATGATTTGCATTATCACACAGCAGACTGGCATGATATTCATTTGTTTACAAGTACTTTTTCATAAAATAACTTTGACCTTCTACTTCACAAAACAAAAGCTCAAATTTCCTACAGCTAACTCGTTTCAGTGTAGGTGGTATGGTGAATGTCAAATTGTGCGCTTTCTATTTGCCTCTGACCTGATTGCAGCAGAACCCAGCTGCATTTCTGATTTTGGCCCATTTAAACAAGGCAAGACTAAAACAAATGTAACATATTGTGGATACTGGAAGTCTGAAATAAAAAGTGTTGAAGAAACTCAACAAGTCTGGCAGCATCCATGATGAGAGAAACAGAGTTAATGTTGAATCCTATTAGACTTCTCTTTGCTCCAAAGAATCATATTGAACAAGAAATGTTGACTCTGCTTCTCTCTCCGTAGATGCTGTCAGAGCTAACTGTACTGACATTTTTTCCTGGTACTTTCTGCTTTACCAAATGCTAATCACCGCATGCTCCAAATCAACAGAAGAAAGTTGTGTGCTTCTATAGGTGTTAAAAATCTCGGACAATGGGCTAGTGTTTCTGAGTCGGCTGTCAGAAAACTGATATGCACTCTGACCGCCTCAGCTCCATCAAAATACTTTTAAAATGTATTCATCTGATTAAGCAGTAATGCTGCAAACTCTACAACCTGGTTTGCTTTGGGACTATTGGTGCACACAAGGCAGAAAAAACACTGGGGAAGGGTCACCGGAACTGAAATGTTAACTCCAATTCCTCTCCACTATGCTAGCAGACCTGCTAAGCTTTTCCAGTAATTTCTGTTTTTGTTAGAGAAAACACTGGGCTTGTTGTTCATTTCCTGAATGGGAGTTTGCACTCAGATTGAAGAGATCAAGTTTGTGAAGATTTAATCAAGACTGAAAGTGTCATTTAGCTTAGCTGGTGGGAAGAATCTCTAATTTGCTCCCACTTTAAAAGTCAGTTCTAGGATTAAAAGTTGCCCACCAGGAAGGGGTAAAAGAAAGCAAGCCCACAAGAGCTAGGAATAATTCTTAGCTGGCTCCTGAAGGATGATCTGTCACTTAAAACATACTGTAAAGTATAAGCATGGAGTGAGATTTTCAGTTGGTTTAAAAGTTAAATGTGGGGAACATTTTTGTGGTTTCAAGTATAAGGTGCATATAAAAATAGTACTTATTCAATGTTGCTTTTAATTCATTTGTACAGTAAATGTTTTAAAACTTGAAATCTTGTCATGTGATGCTTTGCCAGTCCCTGGGAATTCAAATCTTGTATCTTTCTAAATGTTATCTGTTTCTATGGGAACCATAAATTCAGAACATTTCCTTCACTGGCAGTGGAACTCCAAAAGATTTTATAAGTGGCACATGTGGAGAAGAAAAAGCAGCCTAAATATAAAGTCTTGGCATTAAGTACTGACTACATTTTATGAACTGTGCTCGCTCCAGTCTTAAATCTCAACTAGTGAATGGTGACATTAATTACAGAAATGTTTTTAAATGACTGAAATAGTTCTATAGAAGCCTTTAAGAGATTGTTTTATTGGTTTACATTTGTCAGTTCTACACAGTCAGAACATAAACTTAGTGTGCAAATAGAACGTTGGCATTCATTGCAAGAGGGATGGAATGTGAAAGTAGCAAAGTTTTAATGCTACCCGCCCTTGGTGATAGCACATCTGAAGTACTGTGTACAGTTTTCTTATTTGAAAAAGGATATGATTGCATTAGAAGCAATTCACAGAAGTTCAGCTGACTCATTCCTGGGATGAAGGGCTTATCAAGGAAAAAGACTGAATAGTTGGAGTTTTACCAATTGTAGTTTAGAAGAACGGGAGGGAAATATACAAGATTCTGAGGGGGCATGACTGTGTGATGTTTTCTCTTGTGGAAGATTGAAAACTTGGGAACACACTTTAAAAACAACAAATCATTTTTTTAAGATAGAGATGAAGAGAACTTTTTCTCTCAGAAGGTTGTCAGTAAGTGGAATTCTCTCCCCTGGAAAGTAATAGAAAATGGGTCAATGAATCTATTTGAGGTTAATTGAGATAGATTTTAGATTGTCAAGGGTGCTTGGCAGCAGGGATGTGTGGGAAGAGTGCAGAAAGAAAATTGGAAATGAGGCATCATACAGGGTCAGCCTGAATCTTACTGAATGGTGGACCAGACTTGAGGGCTGTACAGCCTACTTCTGCTTATGTATCACAAAGATTTGATGACATAAAGCACCTAATTCACAAATTAACTTTATTGAGACTGTTATGATTCACTGGGGTAGTGCGTTATAAATCGAGCCCTGCTATTCCTGGAATTTATCCAACTGTTAGCTTTCTTTAAAAGCAAGCATAGTACCCCAATTTTCTTGACTTTCAGCCAAAGCTCATGGAAAGTACAGGCCAGGTTTCTGTACTAACCAAGGATTGAAAAACTATTAATCTTCATAAATAATTAGACCGCAGCAATAAGTAAAATGATATAAAAATTGACATTTAAGTGTAAACACATGCATCACCCCCCAAGTTGACCAGACCCCTTGTTCAGGTAGGTTTCTAGTTAGTAAGGAATTCAGAGTTACCAATTCTCTTGGAAAAGGTCTCTGATTTATCAGTTCAAAAGTCACAGCTTACAGTAACTGCTGCAGGAAAGGTAACTAGTTTCCTTTAGGTTTAAATAATCCAACTATAGTTAACCAGGAAAATTAAGGAAAGCATCAAATTGCAGAAAGAAGCATACAATGTGACAAAGATTAATGGTAAGCCAGAGGACTGGCAAAGTTTTAAAAACCAATAAAAGACAAATAAAAAAAATAATAAAAAGTGGGAAAGATTACCCTGGAGGGTAAACTTGACAGTAATAGCAAGACAAACAAGAGCTTCTTTAAATACATAAAAAGGAATGAGAGGTGGAAGTAATACAGGACCCTTAGAGAATGAGGCTAGGGAATAATGGGGAACCAGGAAATGGCAAAGGAGCTGAACTGACACTTTACATCAGTCTTCACAACAAAAGGCATTCATTCCAGTGGAAAACAGATTTGAAAAATACTCGGAGAAGAGGAAATAACTACAATACCTATCACTTGACAAAGAATGATAGGGAAACTAAAGATCGATAAATCTCCTGGACCTGATGGGATGCATCCTAGGATATTAAAAGTAGCTACAGACATAGTGGATAAACTGGTGGCAATCATCCAAAATTCCTTCGATTCTAGAAAAGTGCCAGATAATTGAAAAACTGTTAAAGTAACACCTTTATGTGAAAAGGGAAGGAGACATACACACACAAAAAAAGTAACTAACTATTTGCCAGTTAGCTCAATAACTATTATTGGTAACACGTTAGGGTGGCAATGTCCTTGTAAATCTTTTCTGAACCCTTTCAAGTTTCACAGCACGCTTCCTATAGCAGGGAGACCAAAACTGAACACATGGTGTTTGATAAGCTGCCACACATTAGGTGAATTAACAAGATAAAAAAAAAAAACCATGGTGCTAGGGACAATATGGACAGAGAATTGGTTAATTTCTAGAAGACAGAGTTGGGATAATGGATGCATTTTTAGTATGGCAAACTGCGACTATTGCAGCACTGCAGGGATCAATGTTGGGAAGAGGGTGTCACAGTTATTTACAACATAAAGTATTGACTTGGATGAAGAAAGTCAGTCAATGTACTGTAGGCAAGTTCGCAGATAGTACAAAAAAAATGAGAAGGTAAGTGCTGAGAATGACCCAGATCTTACAGTTAGACATGGACAAGTTAGGCAAGTGGGTAAAATTTTGGCCAATTGGGCACAATATAGGAAAATAAGGTTAAGGACTTTGGCAGGAAGGACTAGCAAGCTGAAATGTTACACAGCAGAGCTTTATTATGGAGATGTTTACCAGCAGCAAGGTTAGACGAAATGATTTTCCCACCTAAAATGGCTAATGATGTCATGTGACAAGACTCACAAAATGACTGTCTGCTACACTTGCACAAATACACAACATCGCTCCCCCTTTACATCAGAGGCTCTTGCAATGAAAACATTCACAATATTTACAATCGTATATACGAGTCAGTCACTAAGACATTTCAAAGACATCAATTCTTGTGTAGCTGCCAGCACATCTCAGGCACCTATTTATACTTCTCATTGGCTTTAACCTTGGTGTCTTCCATGTACTAGGATCATAATCTATCGTCATCTTTTTCTGAGATGATTGAATGTTCAGGGGTTTGCACAACGTCATGGTATTCTGTACCAAGGTACTATCCCTCTCAGATGATCCAATTACTATTCTGACATCAGGTCTCTATTTGGCACAATCACCTGTGGATCTTGAATTAAAGTGGTCTCTGGCACATATGTTCTGGCTATCAAGGGGTGATCTGCACATCTCATCCATATATCGTCCCTCATCTGTATGGTTCAAGGGACCGGTCCAGTCTGTGCTAGAATGACAGTTGGTATCTACTTCTTGCCTGTGGTGTAATTCCTCACCAATGCTTCTTGACTTGTTTGCAAAATGCTGCTCTTTCTTGAGTGTTCTCTAGTTATGTCTGCATAAGGACTGTTTGTAGTCAATTCATTTGGCAGAGGTAAATTTAGACAGACCATCAGCATTGGCCTTGTTATCCCATTGGAAAGCCTGATTCTGTTGTTTGTCATGGGTAACTTTAGCAAAATCAAGTACTGTACACAACTGACACTTTATCACGAACAATGTCGGAGAATTCAGAGTTGCTGAATGGATTGTGTTCTGGAATGTTAACAAAAATTGGATGATTCGTTTGGATAGTAATCCTTATTCTTGAGGTACCCCAAGGAGTGTTTCATTGTCTGAAAAAATGTTTCCACCAAGCCATTTGTGGCTAACTGATAAGGATCTTATCAGATATGTTGAATTCCAATCTGCTTTAGACAGTCCATAAACTCGTGATATGAACTGTGGACCATTATCACTAACAGTAGTTCCGCATAACCAAACCTCACAAAGATCTCCCCCAGTCTTTAAATGGTTTTCTTTGATGGCGTTATAGTCATGATGGCAACTTCAGGCCATTTAATATGTGCGTCAACTTCAGAAAAAGAACTCTTGTCATTCAAAACTTTTGGCTCAGTCATCAAGGGTTCTTTGCCTTGACCTTTCTGGTCATTTCCATGACTGTAATAGCACTAATGGAAGTAGGTTGCGAACTCTTGTAGAAGCCTCACTTACTCCGCCTTCTCAATTTCAAAGTTGAGCCCTGGCCGTCATCTTAATTCTGACAATGCCACAGAGCCCTTTGTATAGTTGAGTTAACCATATGTTTCCTTAGCAGTGGTGGAACGATGACCCTCATTCCCCACTGGTGACATCCTGCTCGCACAGACAGTTCTAGCTTCTGTGTGAACATATGGCTTCAGTTCTGGGATTGTTCAAAAGTGATGAACATAATACTTTATGGCAAGATCTCAGGATAGTAGTGGCTCATTAAAGTATATTTGTCCTGCTCTTACTGATGTGTTCTTTAATTGTTTGAAATAGAAAATGTCTGCATAAGGACTGTTTGTAGTTGACTTATTTGGCAAAGGTAATCAAGGGAGCCCAACAATTCTCATATTTGCTGATACTTAACTGTATAAGTGTAAGCTGATACTAAAAACACCCACCTCTACATTTGGCTTGATAGAGAAAATACCCATGTATGAGGCTCAAATGTTGTGATCAATGGACTGCAGTCAATTAGTAGGGTACATTCCTGGCCATACCGGTATTGGTGATATAGTCTAATGCCAAAATTGATTCCTAGAGATTCCTTCTCAATCTGTTCATTGCTGGTTTAATGATAAACTATTGGTTTCTCTTCACCAATAGGTAATGTATGAGAAATGACTGCTCTCACTCCATTCAATGATGCATGGCATTTTAGTTGCGATGGTACTTTTGTGTCAAAATGGGTCAGGAGATCTGACTTAAATAAAGCCTCTTTGGTTTATGTAAAGAATCTTTCACATTTCCAATTCTTGTTTTGGCACAATAAATTTGCCTTGAGAATAGTCGCAAGATTTGGGACACACCTGCCACAGTAATATAAACAGCCCAAAACTGATCACAGTTGTTTGGCATTTTTAGGTGCTGGCTTTATTTTTGAAGGCATTACATGTAGTCCCTTAGCATCAGTGACGTAGTCTAAATACCCAAATGAAAACATTAAGAATTTAAATTTGTCTTCGCTCACTCTTAGGCCATAATCTTCAAGTCCCTGCAGAGTAGCATCTAAATTGTGGACACGCTTTTACTCATTACTTCCTCTGACTAAATATCATCAAGGAACACTGGACTCCTCCCAATCCACTTCAAGTCTGATCCATGGCAAGTTTAATAATGCAAGTGCAGATGTGATTCCAAATGGAAATCTCTTGTATTTCAGTAGTCCTTTATACGTTACAATCACCAAGTGTTTTTCTGACTCAGGGTTGACATTCATCTGGAGATAGTGAAATCAATCTTAGTCAAACCTAAAATGCTAACCTTCAGCTAGTCCAGCAAATATGTCATCCACATTCAGCACACAGTACTGGATTAAGAGTGATCTTAAAATCACCACTGAATCATCTTTCATCATGACGTACAATAGGGGTGGTAGACTGCCTGCATAACTGAACATTTACATTGATACAATCCTCTAAAGGCACCACTTTGCCTGTGTACATTCTTAGTACAATTGTTGAGAGTTGCAGTGTGATGTGACTCAGCTGCTTCTCATGTACATTTTCAGGTATCAATGAAATCACCACCCCAGTATCGACCTCCACAGTTTGCCATTTAGTAAGGGAGTGGCACAGTATCAGTTGATGTTGCTTGCAATGGTTAGTATCTTTAATAACAGCTCCTCTTTGGACTTAGAGTCAAGATTTTTCTCATGCCCTTTCTGTACTGTGCAGATTTTCTTCTTACTCTTTAGTTTCTGTACTTTTGCTGTATGCTCATGTTTATTCCTCAAACATGCCCGTTCAAACGTATCCTTTCTTCCAGATTCCGCATACAGCTCCTGCATACTGCATAACCTGTTTTCACACCAATGACAGTTTTGAGTTTGCATCGGCGTAGATCTCTCAGCCACCATTTTATATCAGCCACCATTTTATTACTTTTATCCTCAAGCTTAGCTGCCGAGCTTCCTTGGGTGCTAGTTCCAGTACCTTCTTTAAGTCTAGGTTCCTTCCTGTCAGTGACAACAAGGTGCAGGGCTGGATGAACACAGCAGGCCAAGCAGCATCATAGGAGCAGAGAGGCTCCTTCCTGTCAGTACTTTTTTCTGGAATGCTTCATATCTTAAACCACACAATGGTCTGTCTCTGACAGCATCATTTAGGTTGTCTCCAAATTCACAGAATTCTACTGACTTTAAATTGTTGTGAACTGGGAGATAGATTCATCATCATGCTGGCTTGCTGTGTAGGAATTCCAGCTCTGTATTTTCATCATACAGTCACAAGGTGCCAAACTTTCCTGCCCTTTTTATTTAAAACATGAAGGCATAGCATGATATTCCACAAAAGGTTTTTAGCACTACCTCATTGCTTCCTGTTTAAAAACAAGGTGTTGCTGAGGCTGCTGTTTCTTTCAAAGTCTACACCCTATATCAAGACATTTTCCTGTGTGGGAAATTTGTTCCAGTGTTCCTTTGGATTGGAAAATGTGGCGAACTTCTGCACTGTTCATCTCTTCCCTGGGGTGATTTTTCTTTTTGCTGACTCCCTGCTTTGATACAGTATGACACACTTGATTTCTTTACTTCTTTTTAATCGAAGTGCCTCTGAGATCTGCTATGAGAACCATGATTCTTTTGTTTTTTTGATGAATCACTGGGTTGATCTGGTGGAACTCAAAGCACTTTTTAAACCTCATTGCCAGTTTTCTTCTTGATTAAGTTCTAAGGAGGACCAGGAGGCCAAAGTGTTAAACAGCAGGAGCTTTATTATGGAAATATTTACTGTACAGGCATCAAGGTTAGACTAACGGGCATGTTTGCCGATAACAACATAACATCACATGATCGAACTCAAAGAAATGGCCCATTCTACTTACACAAATACATGACAAATAGAGGAGCTGAATATTATTTAAATGGAGAGAAATTACAGAAAGCTCCAGCAGAGGAAGATTTGGGGATCCTTGTACATAAATCACGAAAAGCCAGCTGGTAATGAGGAAGACAAGTGGAATATTGGCCTTTATTTCAAAGGGAATGGATATAAAACTAAGGAGGTCTCCCTAAAATTGTACAGATCCACAGATGGAATACTGTCTACGGTTTTAGTCCCCTTATCTAAGGACAGATACTAGCATTAGAGGCAGTCCAGATTGATCTTGAGTATGTAGAGACTGTCTTATGAGGAGAGGTTGAATAGGTTGGGCCTGTACTCACCAGAATTTAGAAGAAAGAGAGGTGACCTTTTAGAAACATACAAGATTCTTTCAGGACTTGACAGGATAGATGCGAAGGGTTGTTTCCCCATGTGGGAGAGTCTAGGATCAGAGCGCATAATCTCAGAGTAAGGGGTTGTCCACATAAGAAATAGATGAGGAGGAATTTCTTCCCTCAGATGGCAATGGATATGTGGAAATCTTCACCGCAGAGGACTGGTGAGGCTGGGTCATTAAGTATAGTCAAGGTTGAGATAGACAGGTTTTTAAATGAGAAGGTGTTTGAAGATTGGCGGGGGGGGGGGGGTGGGGAAGGATTGAATGGCAGAGCAGGCTCAAAACAGCTGAATAGCCTACATCTGCTCTTATGCCTCATGGCCTTATAGTTTAACAAATCGTAGGAGAACGTGATGGCAACTTGTCAATATTTATGTACGAAAATAGCAAGGTGACTAAAATGAATAGCTCAAATTGCCAAATAGTGTGCTAGAAAAAAATGTTGCAGAGCAAAAAGATAATTGTTTCATTTCTAACTAAATGTCAAGTAAGATGTTATTTTACACACAATTTGTTAATATTAAAATTATTTGAGGTATTTACTATATTCAGGATGAGTCATATGTGGTGTATGATTCAAATTATATAGTATGACAGAAGGAAATATTGGAACATACCCATGTACAGATGATCTTCACTGGGGTCATCAAGCACCTATGAGAATAAGCAAACAAGAAATGACATCTTGGAAACATGCTTATACTTCAAGGAGGAATAGAAATCATGAAACAGAACACATGCTGGAGGACTCACAGTTTAAAAAAGTTTAAGATGTAGTTTAAGGTTGGCATGACCAGAATGTAAAGCCCATTGCTACTATTTTTAAAAGGATTTTAGTTATTTAATTTTCCTTGTGTGGGGAGTAGCTCTGCCCTTCTGGCTACATTGATGTCCATGCATTAACTTCTTCAATCTACTTTCAAATCACAATTGCCAGGAAATTGTATACACGTACATATATTTTATTGAACCAGCCAGGCGATTAGAAGAAAAGCTTCCACCACTAGCCCCAGACCATCTAGATGCTTGGGAAAGATCTAAAAGAGGCAGAAATCAGGTACAGTTGATTTTCTACTAATCTTTAAAGAGCGATTTACAACGAACCTTCCTTAACCGGAGTATGTCAAAAATGCAGAGCTCATTGCCGTAAGAATGCTTGAAGTGAATGGTATAGATGTAATGAGGTGATATTAGAGCAATATGGGATAGAGGATTATGCTAATAGTGTTTGATAAGGAAATACAGGAACATAAACATCAGTAAGGTCTTACTGGAAAACCAAAAACTAAACCTGGCATGACTGCTGCTTCTGGAGCTTTATTTAAAAGCATATTTAAAGATTACAATTCAAATGGGACTATCATTCACCTTTGAACTAAAAACAGGTAATCATTCTTGTTTAAAACTAAATTAGAATAAAACAGTTTGAAGTTGACGATTTCTTGGAAAGCAATTTCATTTCCTGGAATGAAAAAATAGCAGTCAAACATGAGTTCTGTAATAACCAAATCTGTTTTTCTTGCCTCCACTCTTTTCCTGACTTAGTGATCTTGAACATACAGTAGTTCATATTTGGCTAACCATCCTCAAAGAAGCTGTTATTCAAATTTAACTTTCAACAGTGAATATTCTCAAGTTTGTGAGCATCAGGAAACAGGGGCCAAGAGTAAGGAGGAAGTTGGGTTTGAAATTAATAACCGAGCCCAAACTTGTCCTTCTGCAATGCCCACATTCTTGCTTGGAAAAGTAGCTAGAAAGCCACCTGCCAGTGTGCCGAAATGTTTAATTTGTTGTGAAGAATGCAACTGATGCAACATCTAATTCAAAAAGGATACTTTACTAGCTGGGCGTTATGGTAAGATTTTCAATTGGAAAAACAGCCCCTAGGTTTGTTAATTAAGTAACAAGTTTCTGCAGCTAATCATATCGAGGATCAAAGAGGAAGTCTGGAATAAATTATGACAAAGAAGTAAACATGAGCAAGCCATGAATGTTGCACAACTGAAGGTTAAAGATGCAAGAACACTGAACTAACACTATCCCAGGGAAACAGCAAGAAGTTTCAAGTAAAAATGGCAAGATTATGCAAACTGCATTATACAAGTCATGATAGAAAACAGAAATTCTGGAGACATTTCCATGGTCCAAGTTAATCTCTCAATCCTCACTTTTATTTCAACTTTAATCTCAACTTGCGTACAACAGTGGATGTCATATAAAACAATTCATGAACTTTAAAGTGTAAATAGATTTATGTCCTATGAACAAGCTATTCTATACTTCAGGAGGGAACATTTAGGAGCCATGCAGAGCTAAGGAGATGGCAAGAACACAGAATTCATTGTTCAGATAGTCTATAATTTACAAAGTATATTGTGCCAATGTGTTCAATAAAGGACAGCATGCACTTCCATATAATAGCATGGTGATTATGCAAAACCCAAAGATTTAGATAAACTGTATCACGCAAGTTGCTTTCTCTACCCTGTGTTAAAAGCCTTCTCTCCTCCTGTCTCCACCATGACACACATGCTAATATTTTCAGTCATGCTCTGACAAAAGAAAATGTATTCTTCTATAATTTCAAATTCCCTTCTTCAACTGCCACTCTAATTCTAGGTTTGAGCTGCAGTAAAATACGGTTTTCATGGCCTTCATAAAACCATGACTAGATGAAGTAGCTCATTTAACTTTTTCATATCTTAATTAATCTATTTTTGGAGGAGCAGGACTTCTGACATCAGGTCTGAAGAAAGGCAAGAAAAAAAAGGAAAAGTTGTGCTTGCCAAAATGCTGCTGCTTTTTACCATCTTGTTTGGAGTGGAAAAATGTGGTATACAGTTGCATGAACTGATGATATTCTGCAACTGATCCTCAAAGATTTGCCAGAGACAGATAATATAAAAGCAACATAACTAATCTGTTGAAATGCAATAAAGATCTTAAATGTTTGAAGTTAAATAGTATTGCTTACTTAGGCAGGAACAAGATAATGATGGCTCTTTGAAGTGCTTATTTTTTAAAAAAATGCACATTAAAATGAGTGATATTTGATTAAACGCTGGTGCAGTATTTTTAAAATGTCTAAAATGCAAATGGAAAACGTGAAAACCAAGTTGCCTCAATTTACATACTTCTATCAGCATTTCTTGAATAACAGAGTAAGGAAAAGTAAAACATACTTCAACTAGTTTGACAACATTTGGATGATCCAACTTCTTCAAAATGGCAATTTCTTGGTACACACTATCCAAAGGCCCTTTAGGCTGTGCAGAGATTTGTGGAACAATTTTGGCACCTCGAGGTGGGGGACGACCTAGATGACAGAATAGGATCATTATCTGCTAAGTGGCCACATATTCAAATTAATGGCTCATCATAACGTAACCATTCTTCAACTTTGTATTGAAATGAAATAAAAGCTATCCATTTTGCTTTTGAAAGGTTATATCTGTTATTCATCCAGAGTCCAACAGCAGTACCAACATTATGCTGGGGAAGGCACAGCATCTTTTCAATCTAATTGTTGAAAGCTATTTTTGGGTTGGAGTGGTGAGAGGAATCATTCACATTAATGAAACAACATATCAACATTTTCCAGAATTGCCAACAGGAGCAAACCTGCCAGAATTGTATCTTGGGAAATCTCAGGCTACATCTTCAAGATTTCCCAAACTGCACTCCAAGTACACATGCGTCATGTAAATGATAAATAATACTTTTCTCCTGAGACATTAAATACATATTGTAGATGAATTTAGCCATTTTTGTAAGTTACATTTTCTATTTCTTTAGCTTTTCCCAGGCACTTTTCCCCACTGAAAGTATCAGTCACAATCTCTCTGCCATCCCATTCTCTCAGGGTTTCTAACTTCCCAAAGATATAGTTTTTAAATTTCAACCATTCTCTCAGTTTCATGTGGTTCATCACTAGTTCATGTGGTTCATCACATTCAATAGCTTGTAAGGATTCTATTCCATTCTTCCAGATCCTCTGTCCCATCACAACTGTTCCAATGATGCAAACTTCCATTCTAGTGTACCAGAGAGGTCATCCTCATGCTTCACCTAAGATTTCCTCCCCACTCTGTCTGGAAAGGAACCTCAACCATGTCCGCTACATTTCTCCACTCCATACCCCTTCCCCGAACAGGGATTGGGCTTCCCTTACCCCCACAAGCCTCCATATTTAACAGATTATTTTGCACCACTTTCACTGGGATCCTCCCTCAAAGACATTTTCCCTTCTCCTTCGTGTTTAGCTTTTAAAAAAGACTTCCCTCTTTGATGCCTCAGTCCACTCCAAATAATATCCCAACACCCTGTCCCCTTTCTCAGCCACCATTCCTTGCTAACGCAGGATGTAATCACGTGCCCTTTTTACCTCCTCTTGAAACCTTGCCATCTTTGATCCAAAGGCAACTGCACAATACCCAGCTCATATATTTGATATGAATGTTGCACGTGCTGGATTACTTTCTGCCTTGCTGCACAGGCAAAGACAGTATCAAAGGAAAGAGTGATACCAAAGTCACCAGCATGCTTCATCTATAGTAGCCAACTTCTGTGTCTCTTCAGAACTGTTCTGAGGAACTCTGAACAGAGTTAACTATTTCTTGAGACTGGTTCTGAAGAAAAGTCATACCAGATTTGAAACATTAATTTTGTTTCTCTCTTCATTTGCTGAGTTTCTCCAGCATTTTCTCTGTTGATTTCAGATTTCCAGCACATGCAGTACTTTGTTTTGATTTAATATTAGCGGTTGTTTGCACAGCTTCCAGAAGGAGAAGACGATGGTGAAGTTCCCCCAAGATGGCACAGGAAAATGTCTAGACCCCCATCAACAGACCTACCTGTCATTTTGTTTTTAAAAACAGCTCTTGGAAACAGTGCAAACCAGAGGGGTTTCAGGTCATTCTCACCAAACTGTCACCTGCCAGAGCAGGACTTGCTCTTGAAAGCAATAGGTGGTCATGCCACCCCATCAAGTTGAGTTGCAATGCGTTTTTATGCTGGTTCTCGTTGTGCAGAGCAGTTACCGAATTTTGCAAAATTTCCCAATCCTCAACCTACAAATGTATCAGAGTTGCCACGGACGCCATTTTCCCCAGAATGTTTATGTATCTCCCCATGATGACCGTCAAGTTATCTGGGCTGTGGAATTTTTCACCATCGTTGGCATCCCCAGGTGCACGATGTTATAGACCACACAGGTAATTTGAGAGCACCTTATCATCAACCTGCAGAATATGTTAACAGAGAAGGGTTAGACTTGTGTGGCGACAGGTGCTAGATTTTAGAAGTACACAACAGTTTATCCTGGGAGTTGCCATGATGCATACATACTACAGAACTTAAGTTGCTCCTCCTTCTTGGGTCACAGAGAGATAGGTTTAGGAGACAATCCTGTCCCAAATATGACTCATGACATTTTTATGAAGCTCTCAGAGTAAGCATATAGCAAAATATACAACATTATCCGTACTTCCACCAAGGACATGAGAGAACAGGTTTCAGGCCTTCACAAGATTGGGGGGGGGGGGGGGGGAGAGAAAGGGGAGAGAGAGAGAGCGCGCAAGAGCGAGCACAAGAGAGCGAGCGCGCCTGTGGGTGTGGGGGAACGTGCTGGATGCAGGGGAAATGGAGGATAAACAGTTATCTTCTAAAAATGAAAATGAAATGAGCATGTGAACCTGGTTACAGTTCTTGAACATTTCTGCCGCTGAGTAAATGCTTTGTTATCCACACAAGCGTATGCTTGGTATTTTCAGGGTGATCCTACTTTCAAGTATCTTCACTTTATAAGTTCTACTTGCCATTAGGGAGAAGGCAGCAGTCAGAGAGACAGGGCACAAACAATGCATGGCACTAATGTAACATTTCTTTTAAGGCTTCATTCAGCATGATAGCCAAGTTATGCAGTTAAGTCTATTGTTATAGGCTGCAGGTTGAGAGTATTTCTGAGGCATTTCTTTTTTACCCTTCCATCATGGGTTGTGCCTTCAACATTGAGATCATATAGACTGCTAAACTCCCACAAAATGCTCGAGTAACCTGTACAACAGCATTTAATTTATGAGAATTAGCACTTTTATGCAACATCCCTTGGCAGGCCACTGTGCAATGAGGGAAAGTGGACATGTGAACTACCCACTGTATACCTCCTAATCTTGAGCGGTAGTGTGCTCCCTTCAAAAGCTGATAGAACGAATGAAGCTTTCCCTCTAGAGATACGAATTTATCACTGATGTCATTTTTTTTTTTACAAAGTGGGTGCTAATGTGGAAGATCTGTGCAGGTCAGGCCTTACCATAAGCCTTGCAAATTGAGGGTAACACATTGCTGAGGCTAAATCAAAATCCAATGAGCCTTCCCCAGGAAGGCTTAAGTCCTCTTCATAGTGATTCCATGTAGTGCTTTCTTCAATTGCTTATACTAGCAAATTTATTTAGGGCTCTTGTGGTGCAATGGCAGCATCCCTAACTCTGGGCTAGAAGGTCTGAGTTCAAATCCCACATGCCATAACATGTCCAAACAGGTCGATTAAAAGTAGCTATAAGCAACACTTTGGTGCTGTCATCTAAGTCACAGTTCAAGGGCCTGTGATGTCAGCTGCTTACAAGAAATGAACAATGCACGGTCATTACCACGTCTTTCATCCTTGGGATGTCTGAGAAAAGTACTCATTTATCAACTGGGCACACATTCACCACGTCCAACAGCAACGACAGAACAAAACAGAGACAATTTAAGAGTGCAAGTGCATGTGTATTTACAAAATGCAAGAAACTTTAAAATGATGTGTCACTTGTGGCACCCATGTGTTCTCACTAAGTATTGTTTTCTTCCTTTGAAGGTAACCAGACACACATATACTGGAGCCAGCTTGATAACATTGGTGGACTCCTCCATCCATTGATCCAGCTTACAGACTGACTCTGACAAATCTGACTGCTGTTTCTATGCCTTTGACAAAATCATTCATTGCCAAGACCAATGAACTGTCTTCTGCCTAGGTCTCCAGCATTTCTCTCAGTGCTAAAGACTTGGAGCATTTCTTCCTTGGCCAGCTGCAGAGACATGTCAGTGATGGGCTCACCAGATTTTGCTCCCAAGTCTAGACTATGCAGAGAATCCACTGTGATGAAAGTCTGGGGTGGTAGAGGGTGCAGGTGAACTCTTTACTGATGCATCTTCTCAGGGGTGAGACTGATGGTCTTTAGCACTCACTGCTTCAGAGCAGTGGTGCCTTGGATGCTGCTAGTGCCTGCACAAGAAAAGATACAGCTGGGTGTGTAGAGGGATAAAAACTTGCGCAGATTAAGAATAAGTTACTGGTGATGGTACACACTACAGCAGGTCTCAGTGTCTCAACTCTGTGCTCTTCTACAGCTATAATCTAACATATTCCCTCAGAGAGCATGAACAAACTTATGTCCACTACACTCCACCAGTCTTCACTCTTCTAGCCTGGTTGTGATATTTTTCCTGCAATGACACAAAGGGAGGGATGAGTATGTTGGAGATGGATGGGAGATCTAATAGTGGTGGTGTAGGGCCAGAAGTGGTGAGATGTCCCCAGGACAAGATGGGTTTGCATATTGGGACAATGAGGTTTTGAGAGAATACTGAAGGAACATGATGCATGCAATAGGGAGTGTTGCAGTCCATGAGCCTGACGGGAGGGGTGTGCAGTGGTAGGGTTAGGGTGAGTGGTGGTGATGTTGAGTGTGAGGGAGCAGAGAGATGGTGGCACTTATCCTTCTAGAACACAGACAATCATTACTATCTTCCTGTGCTGCTAGGTACTTCTTTACACCAAAGATACTGCACTGATCAGGCCATCATCTCTGTCCAGGCTGTCTGAGGCTGTGGCACGGCCACCTTTGTCAGTCAGCGGGAAAAGTTATTGTTCTTCTCTCCATCACTACCTCCAGATCCCTTTTGGGAAAGTAGGGTAATGGCTTCCCTACCTGGGCCATGTATTTGACAACAAAGGTTGAACATTATAGTCCCAAGGCTAGTTCCTAGCTTGCAGTGTCTGAACTGATATGGAGCTGAGGTTTAATTATGATGTTAATGATGTGAACACCATGAAGTCCTAGCAGGGGTGAAACTCTACCCCTTTCCTAGCATAACATTTCATGGGACAGGCAATGAGGAGGCCAGTTGCATGAGTAATGAGATAAAGAGCAGATGATTACATGACAAAACAACAGGGGCCATGGCAGACCTGGCGCCATGAATCTCACTTGAAAAGCACAGTTTCAGATCTTGCCCTGTTAGGACTTGACCGGGAAGAGTCTGCCAATAATTGACTTCCACTGTTCCAGATGCTTCACAAATATATAAACAACCAGTTAAATCACTAAGACGGTCAATTTGATGACTGATTGCTATTCAGGATAAAAGCAATTCATACCAGGTTTCATCAATAACAAAAATAACTGTCTTGGAAATACACATTCTTTAAATAATGGCAGAGAGAAAAGGTGCTAATCTACTACAGTGCAAGTTAAACCATATTCTCTTAAAACCCAAATATACACACACTTACACTCATTCATGAATAAGATGGACAAAAGACAGAGTTTGATGTTCTCTGCTTGGTAGCTCTGAAAATTCTGGCCGCACTGCTCCCACCAGTTTGCAGCAAACTTCAACCTCAACAAATCTGAGGTATGTCACAGTAGTTCTTTCTTAACCCAAAAACTCCCGATGCTCCTGACTCAATAATGTAATAATTTCACTGTCCAACAGCTACATTGTCTTGTAGCACTAAAGATGTGTACCACTAAATTTTGCAATTTGCAAAACTTAGTACAGTTATTCAACTATACAGCAGTGTCTGACTTGCATTCCACCTCACTGACCAAAAAAGGAAAACTATGCGGTCCCTTACACCCATCATGATCCATCTGGTCCTGTATGATGAACTCTTCTATCATGCCGTTTCTCCATATTCCACCCTATCACAGACTTTCCTTTGTCTTTGCCCCACTAACTCCTTGTTCAAAATCTATTCCGTCTCTAATTTTTACCAAATAAAAACCCGAAGAACTGCGAATGCTGTAAATCAGGAACAAAAACAAAGTTGCTGAAAAAGCTCAGCAGGTCTGGCAGCAACTGTCAAAGAAAAAACAGTTAACGTTCGTCAAAAGGGTCACCGGACCCGAAACTTTAACTCTGTTTTTTCCTTCACAGTTTCTAATTTTTTACCAGTTTTGATGGAAGATCAGCGACCTGAAGCTTAATTCTGTTTCTCTGCAGATGCTACCTGACCCTCGAGTATTTCCAGCATTTTCGGTTTCTTTAAAAAATTTCTTTTCTTCCATCTAGATGTCCAGAATATTGAATGGATGAGATTGAAAACAGAGAGTTCAGTACATCAATGTTATATATGTGAACTGAAAAAAACATTTGATTTTCTTAACATATTTAAAATTAAGGTGATAGGGGTCCAGTTAGGAAGGAAGACTATTTCCAGTGGTTGAGGGTTTAGAACGACAAATATGTTGTGATTAAATGCAAGAGAGCAGAAGAAATATTTTTCACACAGGTGAGTGAGTTTGTGGTATGTACAATATATGCGGTTTGCTTAAATGGGCCACTCCTATATTGTAACTTCAATGACTACCAATATAGCAGTATTTCTCTTTAAATGTACCATACTTACGTGGAAATCCAGCTTGCCTCATCAACTTCTTTTTAGAAAGGACTTTCATTGCCTACAAAGGAAATTTAATGTGAAACTTTAAAATTTAAAACATGAATAAACTTTAGTTTCATAAAACAAAATAAGAATCTGTAATTCTGAATTCCAGAAAACACCGAAAAATGTAGTTATATTCATTGTAACATATTAAACAATATCTTACTGAAATTGGATTTCAGTCGTGTTATGCTGTGGCCAATTATCCACCAAAAAATAATCAAAAATATGACATTCTAGATCTTCAAACTGTTTAACTTGCAGCAAAATCATACTTAAAAAGTAATTAAATATAAAATACCGAATATTAAATAAAAATAACTTTACCTGGTATACCATTAAACTTTACAGCGTTTGAATATACTTGTCCAGAAATATAATTATTTCAGCATTAACCTATTGGTATCACTATAGCTTTATTTATACTATGTGAGAAGATACATTTATCGACACGAGACTAAATAAGTTAGATGACAAATAAAATCAGAGAGCTAGTGTTGTCAGAAATACTTTATCATAATGAAGAAATGGGTAGTTTGTTCTGCACACAATTCAATCATATCTTGGAATCATGTAATGACTGCTTCGTACTAGATCTGAACAGTTTGTTTTCCCAGATAAAAATATTTCTTCTGGATTTATATTAGATTTCAAGTTGCTCTTATTACTTATGAGAATTGGATGAACATGATTTTGCATCAACTTATGAATAATTTGACAATTCTTCTTGGTTTAGAACCTCCAGCAAGAGAAACGTTTAATTCATTCAGCACATACATAGTAGGTGTTATCATCTTCGTTGTATGCCAGTTTGACAACTCCATAGGAACCCTGCACAAAAGAACATATAAATTCAGAGAGACAATTGCGGTATAATTCCTCAATTAGAACCAAATACTTCACAAAATACGCGTAAAATAATTCCTTGTCAGAAGTAAGGCTGCTTTTGGAAACAAGAAATGGAGGTTACATTAGTAGAACATCAGAATTAACTGATAACTCTTGCATAATTATTCATCGCATGGATATTAAAGTCAACAAATGCTGTGAATGTTAGTTAAGAAGATATAAGTACCTCAGCTGGGATGGTAAGGTAGTCCACCAGATATAGGGCTCCCAAGCAATCCACAAAATTGTTTATTCCAGCTGCCTTGCTACAGAGGGTTCATGCAAAGGTTAGACAAGAGGGGAAGAAAGTATTGCTGGTATGCTCAATTTCCAAATACATTTTTTTTTTGCCCTCTGGTAAAGCTTTCCTGGACAGAAGGGGAGTGGACGCTTACATGGCTCGATATAGTACCCAAATTCTGTTTCTCACGCTGATTATCTCCAAAAATAATTACTTCACATTTCTAATACCCAATATCAAACTATAGCTGCCAAGACAAACATCATAAAAGCATGGTTAAGAGTATTTAAGAACAAGCTTGTTAACATAAAACTTCTGTAATTTTTATGCTCACCTTTCCAATTTCATCTTTTAATTTGTACTGGTTTAACTGCACACAATCCTGTACACAAAATATACAAGTAAACATCAATAAATGAAATATTATTAGAACACTGGCTGCTAGAGCCATGAAAATTTAATAAAATGGTCAATTAATCATGCCTCAGTGGCTTTTAATTTTCAACTTCATGGCGTGTCAGCATTTTCACTCATCCTAAAGCAGGTGACACTATTAAAATTGTATAGATTTCCATGCACTAATCAAGATGACCTTAATCCGAGGGAACGTCCGATGTTCTTATACAAAAAAAAGCTGTTAATTCAAGCCAGTCTAACTTGCAAGAATTTTCAAAATGTTTTCAAATTTGATTTTATCATGTCATTTTCTGTAATACAATGTTGAAATACCGACTGAGTCTGAATTACTCACTTTTCCTGGACTATTTTGATATGTTAGTATGCAAGTGCAGCAAGTCATTGGGAAAGCTCATGGAATGTTAGTGCTTATTGCAAGGGGACTTGAATCCAAATATAGGGAGGTTATTATTTTGAAAGTTCTGCAATATTAAGAGGATACTCCAGGATGGGGAATGTATGAACATAACATGAGCATACAAATTAGGAGCAGAAGTAGACCACATAGTGTCTTGAACCTGTTCTGCCATTCATGAGAGATGATCGGATTACTCCATTGATTATTCTTACAAACCCCCATCAACCTTTCACACTCCTGTTCATCAAAAATCTATGTCTGCCTTAAAAATATTCAAAGGCTTTCATGCAAAGCCTTTTGACAAAGAATTCCAAACAGATACACCATCTGAGGGAAAGGATTTCTCACTTCTGTATTAAATGGACAGCCCCTTAATTTCCAAGTGATTCCCCAATTCTAGACTTCCCCACAAGAAGAAATATCCTTCCATATCTATCTGTCAAAAGCTCTCTGGATCTTACTTGTTTAATCAAGTCACTTCTTGCTCTTCTAAACTCTGTCAGATGCAAGCCTAATCTGTTCAATCATTCTGTTCTATGCACTAGTCTAGTAAATCTTCTCTGAACTGTCTCCATTGCATTTGTATCCTTCCTTAAAAAAGGAGACCAATACTGTACACAGTACTTCAAATAGGGTCTCACCAACATCCGGTTTAACTGAAGCATAACCTCCTTATATTTGGATTCAAGTCCCCTTGCAATAGGCACTCACATTCCATGAGCTTTCCCAATTACTTGCTGCACGTGCATACTAACATTTTGAGATTCATGCACTTGGACAGCCAAATACTAAGCATCTCCAAGAAGCCTCACTGCCAAGCTTGATCTTGTCCAGACACTTTGCATCCGGAATCAACAATGATAAGCAGCAACTTGACAGATTAGTCAGTAAACCCAGCAAGAACAATGGTTATACAAATGCATCCAAATCAGAGCTTGTGATTTGAAATCCCAGAATTCAATAAATATGTTAATTGGTGGGACAGATCAGACAGTTACTGTGCCTACCAGACTGCTGTAAAACTCAAATGGCTGATTAACATCATTCAGTTGATGGGAATCTCCTCACACAAGAGATCTCCATTCCCGTGCCATACAAAAGGTTGACTCCTACAGAACTTTGGGTGACTGAGGTTGAGGAACAAATACTGTCTTGTAAGTGTAATTCATACGATTGTAATAAATACGAACAGTGGAGCAGCTTTGAATCAATAAAGGTTTCTGGAACCAACCTGGTACAATTCTAGTAGATGTAATCAGATGTGATGTCACAATATCAGCCTTTTTAGTTATAATCCTTTGGTATAATGCTCAAAAAAGTTTAACTGCACACAATACTATTTATGAAAGAACATTAAAAAATGAACTAAACACAAGTACTTACATATTGATAATGCAGGCAACCTGACAGATTTGTCAATTGCACATCTAACTGAAGAGGTATAACTTCAAGTCCACATTCACACTGAGCCTGAAATACCTTGGTACAAAACTAAGATGCAAAAAAAATCACTTAAAGCAACAAAATAAACACAGTGGACACTGGCCATTCTGACATCTTGGTCGTCCATCCAAATAAAAAAAACAGTTTCTGCCATTACGAGAGTCAACCAAATTCAACGGGTGAAATATCCTTAATAAAGCAACTGCTGCCTCATTTTTCATTTTTGGTATCAGAGCAAATCATTTTATCAATCCAGTCTATCGCTGCAAAATTCCATAGAAACATTGTGAATAATGCCCAACTACAAGCAGATCCTCCAAGCAAATCTCAACTCTATAATGCATCCTCCACCCTAGCAGTAATTCACTGAACCTACAGAATACGGTTTCAATTTAACGTCACAAAACACAGCTTTCAATTCTACCAAGGTACTTCAGTCTGGACTCTAGAGTACACAAACTTGTATGAACTGAAGTATATGAATCATATCACTTCTAAATTACCACAACCCTTCATCACACGAAATTCCTCAGCTTACTGCATCCAGAATACCATACAGAGGTGGATTGCTATGGTGCAATAAATAAAGATATATTGAATAGAGTTTACTAAGAGTTACCTGTCAACGTGACAACTTACTGAGAAACTAACTGGAAACTGAGACCATTCTTGACCGCAAAACTCTGACAAATTCATTGGGATTTTGCTCCCTTAATCGTGTTTATCTTTCTGAAGTATTGCTTGCAAAAAAAGCCCCTGAAAATTGACAAAGTGACTCGCTGTCATACTTTACCCCAAATCAATAAGTTGTTTCAAGTAAATTTAAGACGTTTTAAAATAGATTTTAGAAGATATTTGAGTAAAGGCTTTGATCTAAATAACTTTTTTCAGGAATTTATTTTCTACACATGCTACTTCATCACATTTTTTCCTTTCAATTTAAACTTATTAACTTTTGTGGAAACTTGTGATAAATTGATGATATGGAAGAATCATGGAATCCTGACAGGACAGATAGAGGCCATTTGTTTGCACCTACCCTCTGTAGAGCATTCCATCCAGACCCATACTATCACCCTATCCTTGCATTTACCATGGCTAATTTACCTAGCCGGCAAATCCCTGGACCCTATAGGGCAATTGCAGCATGGCCAATTCACCTAACCTGCACATCTTTGTGACTGTGGAGGGAAATCAGGGCACCCATCAGAAACCCACACAAACACAGGCAAAAATGTGCAACCCCAAAGACAGTAACCCAAGGCTGGAATCAACCCAGGGTCCCTGGTACTGAGGCAGCAGTGCTAACTTTTGTGCCACCGTGCCGCCTGCTACAGCCCACAAACATCAGATGTTGATTCTGTAATCTTTCAAATTATATAGAGGTTGGCATTTGGCAAATTTTAATATTAATTCCCATCTGTTTTCTAATTCTACATCATCTTTTACTAAATTGCTTTTAAATTAAAAGAAAAGGTGGTCCACTGATTCCACCTAGTGGTCACTGTACATGCAGTTCAACTTCCTGCTTCATTACTTTGTGACAAGATTCATGCTCAGACTGAAATCATGTGGTACTCAAAAATATTTATGAAGAGAAGCCTCAAGAAGACCTAAGTCAAAGCTGCACTGAGTTAACTGAGGTACTGATAGCACAAAATAGACTTCAGGTATCTGACCGAAGGTAAATTAATCATAGTCAGAGTCATACAGCATGGAAACAGACCCTCTGGTCCAACTGGTCCACGCCAACCAGACATCTCAATCTGACATAGTCCCATTTGCCAGCATTTGGTCCTTATCCCTCCAAGCCCTTTCTATTCATATACCCATCCAGATACCTTTTATATGTAATTGTACCCACGTCTACCATTTCCTCTGGCAGTTTATTCCATACATGCACCATCTCTTGTGAGAAAAAGTTACCCTTTGGGTCCTTTTTAAATCTTTTCCCTCTCACTTTAAACCTATGCCCTCTAGTTTTGGACTCACCCACCCTAGAGAAAAGACTTTGGCTATTCACCCTATTCATGCCCCTCATGATTTTATAAACCTCTAAAGTCACCCCTCAGCCTCCAATGCTCCAGGGAAAAAAAGCCCCTGCCTATTCAGCCTCTCCCTATAACTCAAACCCTCCAGTCCAGACAACATCCTTGTGGATCTTTGCTGCACCCACTCAAGTTTAACAATACCTTTCCTATGGAAGGGCAACCAGAATTGTATGCAGTATTCTAAAAGTGGCCTCAATGTCCTTACAGCTGCAACATGACGTCCCAACTCTTATACTCAATTTCCTAACCAATGAAAGCAAGCATGCTAAACACCTTCTTCCCACCCCGTCTACCTGTGACTCCACTTTCAAGGAAGTATGCAAGTGCACCCCAGTCGCTTTGTTTGGCAGAACTCCCCAGGGCCCGGCTATTAATTATATGAGTCCTGCCCTGGTTTGCCTCATATTCTGCTCCTCATTCTAATTAGCAACCTCTGTTAGAAGCACATGTGCTTAATCATCAAGTGGGTAGGATCCTGCTTGGCTGTGCCAGCTCTTGCAGTTGACAAGACCACTGATATCCTGAGTTTTGGCTCACACATCAAGAACTAGTGCTTGGCGCCTATGTAATTTTGACACACCGTATTTGTGCACACTGGAGAGACGGTTAGGTGGGGTAAGAGAATATAGGAGAAGGAAGTGTGTACACAAGGAGAGGGGAAAAAATACTAATACTGAGGTACCAATATTAAAAAGTGATTCATTGTATGTGGTTTCACACTACTAGTTGAATATAAGCTTAGAAAATAAAGAATTGGAAAAAACACTCAAAAGACACTAATCAACCAAGAAGAAGCTAAGCATTAGTTGGCTTAAAGCACAGAAAGATAGGAAGAGACAGAGAAAAAATAAAAGATTGTGGAGCAAATGCAGCATATTCGGGAAAGACCGAGTGTTTTTGTGATATTCAGAATAATGAAATTAAACCATTGAACAAAAGCACTACAGACTGGAACAGTAAATAATGCAGCAGAATTGAATAGGAAGTGATACACAGCAGCTTACAACAGTAAATACGGACACAAATATGAAACCAAAAGTTAACAGGAAGTAAAGTTTTGCAGACAGTATTTTA